AGAAAAATGTTTATTCTTCTGCTTTTTACTCTGTGTCTTTCAAATGTACATGTTCCATTAGTTTTAATTTAGGAGACTCCTTTCTTTCTATCATAATCTCTTCTCTTAAACTGTATCAATCACTTTTCTTCTTGCTCTTTAATTCACACCACACATATGCAGCCCTCCTTTTATATTATAATATACTACAATCATTATTTTAACCTACTCTTTTTTGAAAACATACTTTTAAACGCATTCACATCTCTAATCTTATTACTTTTCCTCTTCTCATTCACTCCTCTCCTCCACTCAGTGTAACAGGAGCTGCATCCCCCCATCCTCATTTCATTCAAGGAGGAGGAAGGCAGTCTTCTCTGCACACCAATGTGGACTATTTTGCCACAATCTGAGGCAACAAATACACAAACACTTCAATTAAATAAATACTCTTCACTACACTCCTCTTGAGTGACCTGTCCGAGCAGCCCTCTAACCTTAGAGCGGTAACCACAGGCTTTCGCCTACCCATGCAGCCCTTTGTTTATCTCATTTAACAAAGCGGTATCGTAGGTCTTAGCGCGCATCTCTCTACTTTAATCTGCTTTAATCTCTTAACTGTTACCACACATTAAGGACTCTCTCTTAAAACTTATAAATGCTCTATGCATTTCTTACATCATTATTAATTTCCCAAATCTGGGTAACAGTTACTAGTGATTGTTTATCCTATCCATCAAGGCCCTCTTAGGAAAACACAGATCATTTGCATACCTTACTCTGCTTTAATCTCTTAACTGTCACAACACATTGAAGACTCTCTCTTAAAACCTATAAATGCTCTATGCATATCTTATATCATTAATAATTTCCCAAATCTGAGTAACAGTTACTAGTTAATGTTTATCCTATCCATCAAGGCCCACTTAGGAAAACACAGATCATTTGCATGCAAATTACTCTTTTTCTTCTGTTATTCAAAACCCCATTTTTCTTTAATATCTTTTTTACATTTACTTTTAATTCTTTAAAGCTGGAGAAACAGTTCAAGTGTATTTACCTGTACAAGCAGGTCCTGGCAGAAAAAACACAAACTAATAAGCATAAAATCGCTTACCGTTTTTTATTGTGGCCACATATTTGTGTTTTCTCTCCAGTCCAGCATGCACAGCAACACCAGTCCTGCTCCTTTCCAGCCCACCCAGAGGGACGCCAAATGTAGTGGTTTTCTTGGTTTTTCTCTTACTAAATCAAACTCAGTCTGGAGGTTATGAATATCAGAAGAATATACTTTATTGTCGACAACAAAGGAGAACTTTCAGGAGACCCCCAGTAGCATCTCTGTCTGAAAAATTCTGTCTCACTCAAATTATAGCCTGTTTAAATAGTCTTCTACACCAGTTTTTTTCTTTGTTCTCCATATGTTACACAAGATCCCTCCTACTTTAACCCTTGACCCCAAATTCCACCTCTGTCATCAGTTTTTCCCTTATTTCTACATATGTCACACAAATTCCACCTAGGTTAACCCCTGACCCAAACCTGGTAACTATATATCTTATCCATCTATACGTCTCTGTTTACACATGTGTTGCTCTATTCTTATTCATTTCCTGAGACACCTTAGTTGCTTACTCAGGCTTTCTCCCGCTCTCTTCTCATCCACTTCTCGTGACCCTTAGTGGTTTCCTCAGGCCCTTTCCCCTTACATAACACTTTAATTGTTTTAATGGTAGGCAAATCTACAAGCAGATTATACACATATAATTTGAATATATAAATTAACTTCACACTTTAAAGAGTATAAAATCCACTTCAAACACAGATACACACACATGTAAAAATGAGTCTTAGACAAGTTTCTAACATATAAAGCTCATCTAAATATGAATTTTCATTACAATTCCTCTCTTTTTATCATTCATTGATAACTCATCATCAAATTCATTTTTTCACCTTTTCTAAAATCACACTAGTTATAAATCACATTCTGATTATATTGATCATGCTGATTACACAAATCATTTAACAGGTTTCTGCACACATAAATACACTAGAGATGTTCAAACCCTCTTCTTAATATAGTTTCCCCATTAAGATTTACTTTTCAAAACATCCCTCTTCCCTGGGAGCCGGGCTAAACGAATAATCACTGTTATTGCGCTCCTGACCGAAGTCAGACCCTCAGTTACCCCTCAGAGGTTCCATCACAGAAATTGCCTGTTATTTGCACACTATTGATTGATTTTACACAACAAAATTCAGAAACATTTGTCAGTTAATTAAAATAACTAACCCTCTACGTTGTTAATTAAATCATAATACTCATAAACATAGGAACACGTTGTTGTTTCTGTACTCTTAAACATACATCACATTTACACTCTTCTCTCGATTTTCATGCAAATGATCACTCTTTTAAGACTTGTTACAGAACATACAACTCATGCAGTTTGCTGTTTTTCTTTGGATAGACCCAAAATACATGTAAGCAAGCAAATAGTCGTCTCAAAATTCAAACAAAAAGTCAGATCAATTAACATTTTCTCAATTAAGTAACAGCCGTCACCTAAATCTGTTCTTAGTCTGTTCACGGGTTTTTTTTGTTCATATCCACATAGCTGCTGCTATCACCAAAGTCATAATCAAATTCATCCCCCATATCAATATTCATACCCTCTTTGTTGACAGCCATCTTTACCATCTGAAGGGATGTTGTAGATGTAATCAGTCTGCCCACTGACCATGATATAAATCTGAAAATACATGGCAGACAACACAATAACACTAGACCCACCCCCACTATAGGTAAAACTACAGTAAAGGCCCAGTAGATCCAGGTTCCCCATTTAAACGATAGCCAATCTAGCCAGGAGTTGTTGGCTTTCTTAGGCACTTTTACGGCCAATCTCATATCAACTACAACGCCAGTAATGTTTTGTTGTAATCAGGTTAATTAAGGTGACACTAGCAGCAATGCCAGTGTTGTTCTCCTCAGACCACACATTACTTGCACACAGAATGGATGCCAGCAATCTTTTCGTCCATCTTCAGATCCTTAATGTGATGGTCAAGCACAGCTTTTTCACCTCTCTTTTGGTTGCCTTCTCCTCCGTCTGATTGCTGCTTGGTGTTGTATTCAGAAGTTACTGTTTCACACACCCCTCTTGACTTTGTTGTTGTTTCTCCCCAGCTGTGACCTTGCTTCACTCAGATATCAGCCTGCTGTTTTCCTTCAGACATCTTCAGAGCCCCTCTTTCTCTCCTACTCCCTCGCGGAATCCTCCTCAGGTGGTGGAATTTTCCTGCAGTGCCCAGCGTGCACCCACGTCGCCCGCTCCGCGACCTTCACCGCTGTCTCAGTGGTCAGTAGCACTTGAAATGGACCCAGCCAACGTTTCGCTCTCCAGCTCTTTCTCCTCAGGTCCCTTATCACCACGAAATCGCCAGGCCTCAGATTGTGTAGTGGTCTGTCAGCTGCCTTCCCCAATGCGGCCTTTACCTGCACACAAACATTGGACAACACATGAGACATTTCTTTACAGTAATTCAACATGTCATCCTCACACACATCTGTTGAGGGCAGCTGCTGTTAACCCCCATTCACACCTACATGCAGTGGTCTGCCAAAGAGAATTTCAAATGGGCTCAAATTCATTTTTGATCTTTTTCTCATTCTCATGTACATTAGGACAATGGGTAAAGCTTGAACCCATAGAAGCCCTGTGTCTTCACAACATTTTGCCAATTTGTTTTTTTCACAATACCATTTTCTCTCTCAACAGCTCCACCTGAAGCTCAATGGTAACTGCAATGTGTTCTCAAATCAATTTCCAAATATTGGCCCACTTGTTTGATTGCTTCATTAACAAAATGGGTACCATTATCTGAGCTTATTTTTTGTGGTATTCCCCATCTCGGCACAATTTCAGTCAGTAACGCTTTTGCTACCGCAGCCGAATCTTGTTTTGAGGTTGGAAAAACTTCAACCCACTTTGACCACATGTCAACCATCACCAAACAGTACCTTTTCCCATTGCATGGGGACAATTCAATGAAATCCATTATCAAATATTCAAAAGGCCCCGTTGAAGGTGGATGAGATGATTGTGGAACCTTTATCGCTCTGGCCACATTATGTGTGTTGCAAATTACACATCGTCTACAGAAATTGTCCGCAAATGTAGTCAACCCCTTTGTGAACCACAGTTCATTCATTTGCGCATCCATTGCTGTTTTTGACTCATGATCTTTACCGTGAAGTAATTTCGCATAATGTTGGAAAAAATTTTTTGGTAAACACGCCTTGCCCTCAGCATACTTCCACACATTATCTTTCATCATGTAGAGCCCTACTAATATAGGATCTGTTGATATTAAGCAGTTTTTGTTTTTCTTTTGTTTTTTTTCAACAAACTATTTTAAGAACTTTCTGCTAAATAACAAAGGTGTTTAAATTCTGATATCATAGTTATTTATGAAAAATATTATCTAATAAATAAATAAATATGTTTTATGTGTCGAGTTTGATGACCTCTAGAGGTTAGGGGGCGGAGCTTAGAAGACGGGAAGGAAGTGAAACCAAGAGCAGAGAGTCAGATGCGTTTGATTTAGAGTTTTTGTTTTAATAGTTTGCCTTGAAATAGTTACACAAAAGAAAATTCATGTGTTAGTTCTGAGTTTACAAAGACTGTTAACCCACATCCTTAGTGCATTTGAGGATCGCTGGACAATCTGTGTGGTTAATTGTTCAGAGAGAGAGAGAGAGAGTGAACGTCAGACCTGCGGACTGAAAGATCGATTGGAGAGAGACTGAGGCTTTGCTAATCGGGCCTGTTTGTTTCGTGATCGGAGGATTTACAACTGCGGTGATGCAATTCGGGATCGCGGATGGACGTCAGAGACGTTTGGAGTGTGTCTGGTTCTGTGAATGGGTACTGTGATTGTGACCTTCATTATTTCTACGGATTCTGTGAGTACTGAAAAGTGTTTTTTTCCAACGTGAGCTCCAACATTGCGCGCCAACGTAAGACTTAAATCCCAGCTGGGTAACATTTTATTTTGGGTTTTATTTGATGCTATAATGTTGCTCAAATGTGTGTTTGCTTTGTATGTCTGATTAAGTGAAGCTGTGTTGTCACTGAAAGTGAATTGAGTCCTACAGCTTTAAAGTGATTTAAAACACAATGAAAGAAAATTAACACAATAGCCTCACAATATTTAATAAATGTAAAAAGTTATTATATGCCTTGCATTTGTGATTTTCTTTTACAGAAAGGGTGAAAATTAATGGTTAAATAAACCAGTGTGTAAAATAACTTGTAAATGAGAGAGTTAAATTATATTATGCAATAGAAAAAGAAAACAAATAGTCACTTCTACTCTGAATAACACTACATATATATCTGAGGCCCGGTGTTATTAAGTGTTTGTTATTACCATTTGATGAACAGACATTGATAATTTTAAAGTTATAGGGATGTGCCTCTCACCTTGAATTTTATTTGAATTTCCCTAGACATATTACTTTTTCTGAGCTAGTTAAGGGGAGAGGGCTACAATCACACAGCCAGACTGTCTCTACTTGTTTTTCTCCAGCCCCGTCGCGAAGGTCTGCATATCCTGCAAAGAAGAACACATGTCATTGTCATTATCAACAGATAGCAGAGAACATTCAGAGTTGTCCTCGTCTCGGGACGCCGTGACTTTTGCTGCTGCGTCTGCTCTGGAGTTACCTACAGAAACAGAATCTTTGTTGTTAGTGTGCGCTACGCATTTACAAATGGCCAGTTTGTCAGGAAGTAAAATCGCATCCAGCAGTGCTGCCACTAAAGGAGCATTGACTATTGGTCGACCATCAGACTTTAGAAATTTTCTGTGTTTCCACAGAGCCCCAAAATCATGAGCTACCCCAAATGCATACCTAGAGTCAGTGTAAATGGTAGCTTCTTTTTCTGCCATCAAATTACATGCCTCTGTCAACGCCACGAGCTCTGCGGCCTGTGCCGAATAGTGCCCTGGTAATTTACCAGAAGCCATCACATCAAATTCAGTTGTTACAGCGTAACCAACCTTATTCTGGCGTGTTTGTGGATCTTTGAACGCTGAACCATCCACAAAGAGGACATTGTCACAATTTTCAAGTGGTTTGTCAGAGAGGTCAGGTCGTGGTGTACACACCTGTTCAAGTGCTGTTAAACAACAATGATGCCCTTCCCCATCCTCCTCAGTAGGAAGAAGAGTAGCTGCATTCAAACCAGTATATCGTTTAACAGTCACATTTGGCATATCTAACAAGATAGTGTGATATCTCAGCCAGCGAGCAGTTGACAGATGCGATGTTTTTTGTTCTTGAAGTATCATGGACAGAGAATGTGGCACCATCAATATCAGATCAGAATAACCAACAAAATCTCTTGAAACCATAACAGCTTTTTCCGCAGCCGCCACTGCTCTTAAGCAACGTGGCAGGCCTGCTGCTACAGGCTCAAGTTTGCTCGAAAAGTAGGCCACAGGTCGCAATCTACCTCCATGATCCTGTAGGAGCAATGACATCATGAACCCATTTCTCTCATCTACCATCTGAACAAATGGTTTTGTTGGTACAGGTAAACCCAATGCAGGGGCTTCAGCCATTTGTAATTTCATGTTTACAAATGCCTGCTCTGCCTCTGTCGTCCACTCTAGTTTGTCAGTGGATTTCATCCCCTTTCCTAATGTTAGGGCTCTCAGGGGTTGTTCCAAAATTGCATAATTTGGAATAAATGTGCGACAATATGAGCACATTCCCAAAAAAGACAACATTTGTTTTTTCGTCAGCGGTTTTGGTACATTTTTTATACCACTCACCCTTTTTTCAGACAGAGATTTACTGTGTGGTGCAATGACATGCCCCAAAAATGTTACCTTTTGTTTAACAAACTGCAATTTTGTCAAACTGACTTTGTGGCCCTCCTTAGCCAGGTGTTTAAGGAGAGTCACAGTGTCTTTCACACATGTCTCCTCATCCTCAGCACATATCAACAAGTCATCAACATACTGTAGCAAAGCAGTTCCAGCTGTCAGGGTCAAAGGTTCCAAACTTCTTAACAACGCTTCATTGTACAAAGTTGGAGATGCTGTAAAACCCTGACACAGACGTATAAAGGTGTAGCCTTTACCATTGAAATTGAATGCAAACCAAAATTGGCTGTCTTTGTCCACTGGCACACTGAAAAATGCATTTGCCAGATCAACCACTGAATAGAATTGTGATTTTTCAGGAAATTGTGACAAAATCGTGTACGGATTTGGAACTAATGGAGCCCTTTGTTTGACAGCTGCATTTACTGCCTGTAAATCCTGTACAAAACGCCATTCTGTAGGCATCCCATTATCCCTTATCTTTTTCACAGGAAAAATAGGGGTGCGAACCTCAGAATTGTTGCATGGTACAATAACGCCCTGTTCCAGTAAAGCCTCAAACACTGGGGTAATACCCTCAATGGCTTCCCTTTTCAAAGGATATTGTTGTTGACATGGTCTGTAATCAGATTTTGCAGTGATTGTAACTGGCTCACAACCTTTAATCAAACCAACATCATACTTGCTTTTAGCCCACAGTTCGCTGGGTATTTCTGCTAAAGCTGGGTGTATGTCTGTAGCGTTATAGTCAACCATGCAAGAATTCTTCACGCACATCTTGTCAATAGAAGTCACAGTTTTTGAAACAGCTGTTTTTGTTTCACTGTCTACTCTAAATGCTTCTGCGCTTTTGCTAAATTCCATCCCTCTTTCTCTACTCTCCCAGTCATCAGCTTCAACACACTGCTTCACAAACGGCCCTAAATCAGCCCAAGATTGTTGTTTACCCTTGCAAACTGATATGTGAGGCACAGCCTGTGCTGACAAGAGATAGAATGAAAGCTGCTTTTCTGACAGAGACACTGAAACTGCGCAAAAACTGCCATTCCAGTACATTTTCTCCAATTTCAAAGTTTCCTGTTCATCTTTCTCAAACCAAGCTTTTTCAAAATCATCATCCCTATCAATTACGACCTGTGACGTACAATGCAGTTCACCAGGAGACATCATATCACTGTCAAAAGGTTTAACACGTTCTTTAGCCAATTTGCAAATTGAATGAGCCCATTCATTGTCTTCAATGAGCCATTCATAGGCCCACTTCGGCTCTTGTGATTCAATTTGTAAACAACAAAATTCCTCCCCTTCAATCACTCTCACACCAGAGGAATCTGCCGTTAAAATCAAGTTTAGTTTACACAAAATGTCCCTTCCGAGGATGGGAATGGGGCATTTTGGTAAACAAACAAATGCATGTCTGAAAATTTTACCCCCCTCTGTCTCACAGGTCAGCGGAGCTGTAAATCGCTCGATCACTGTATGACCAGATGCAGACAGAGACTCATGAAATTTGTTTTTCAAAGCTATTTCACACTGTAGGTCACATGGTCGTATGCAAGATCTGCTAGCTCCACTTTCAGCTAGAAACTCAACCAAAGTGGTCTCACTCAACATAAAATATGTTGGCATATTAAAAATGCTTCATTACCAAAAAAAAACACAATGCCATTTCATCAGAAAAATGATCAACATCACTGTGATCAAAATTACAGTGGGAAATGCAAGCTTTTTCTTCATTGCAGAGAGCCAGTATATCAGTGTATGTGAATATGTGTGTATAAAAATGTGTCTGCATTTAAACATGTTAGTAAAAAATGTTCACTTCCCTTTACTGTAGCTGTTGGCTGCTTGCCCAGATCCTCTCCATTCTGCTCTTCCCTTTCCGCACATCAGCTCCGTTGTTGGTTTGCGCCTTTCGGGTCAATCCTTGACCAAAAGTCCATCTCGGTGGCAAGCGCAGACATTTGGTAGAGTTTCTCATCACGTACCCCACAGGCTCTGTAGATTTCATTGCCATCCGTCAAATTCCAGTTTCTCCATCTTCTGGTATCTTTCTCACCCTTGACACCTTTGTCTCCTTTGAACTTGTGATATCTTTGGTTGTCAGGTCTTGGTTGGATCTTTGGTTGGCTGCTTGTACCAGAGCCATGTGCAGCTCGTTTTCTGCTTTCTTCTTGTCTTGCTCTTGCTTCACTCAGCTTGTCTTCAACATGTTGAGCACACAGCAGAATGTCCGTTAAATGTCCATTTCTCCAGTTCAAACAGATGTCCTCCACTCGCTCAAGGTGGGAATTTCGTTGGTGCGGTCAGAGGTCTTCTGGGACAGTAGCAGTTGAGGCCTGGGTCAGTTCTCAGGGCTCGCAGCTCAGCCACGGGATAGTGATGGTACGGCGGTACATGTATGGAAACAGATATATAGAAAAGATTAGTAATGCTAATTAATCTTTCATTCACTCTTTCACATTTTTCACTTGCTTTTTCCTTCACTTTTTCTCCTTCATTCTTTTCCCTACATGACACTTCTTCATTCTCTTCCCTACATGCCAGCTGCCTCTGCAGCATTTTCCTCTTTGCCTCTTATCTTCCTTTCTGAGCCAACAATCAACAGCGTCTCCACACGACACACACACATTCCTTACACAAAAACAACCTGCTTTTCCTTCTGCCTTCTCAATCAACTCTTTTAATTTGTTTAACCTAGTAACACTCAACATTACCTTTCCCTCAGAAACTTGTGATACTTTATTAGTTTTCCTATATCTTGCATGCTTTTTTTCTTTTTCCATATAATTTTTTCCCATATTCCAAAACACCGGTCTATCATATCTTCGTACTTTGTTTTGAGACGTCCCCATGCTGGCAAAAACTTCCCCTGGACTTTGTCAGTACCTATTAATCTGTCAGACGTCTCCAACAGATTTCGATTTTTCACCTAAAATCGACAAGTTAAGCTTTTCAGCTCTATTTCTCGTGGCACACAATTTCACTTTCCTTTTAGAAGTGAATCGCCCGGCCCCTGATTTCAACCTCCTTCTGGAAGTAAATCGCACAGCCTGGATTTCAGCTTCTTTTGGAAGTAAATTGTACAGCCCCCTGATTTCAACCCCCTCCCGGGAGTAAATCGCAGTTAGCTAGCCGAACGTATTAAAAAGGTCTTGATCTTAGACAGGCGCCAGATCTCACTTGTTTAAGGTCTTGATCTCAGCTAAACGCCAGATCTCACTTGTATAAGGTCTTGATCTCAGCTAAACGCCAGATCTCACTTGTATAAGGTCTTGATCTCAGCTAAACGCCAGATCTCACTTGTATAAGGTCTTGATCTCAGCTAAACGCCAGATCTCACTTGTATAAGGTCTTGATTTCAGCTAAACGCCAGATCTCACTTGTATAAGGTCTTGATTTCAGCTAAACGCCAGGGGCCTGTTTCAGTAAGGAGGTTCAAACAACTCAGAGTTTAAACTTGAACTCTGAGTTGATTTACCAAGAGATTAAAAACTCAGAGTTTTCGGTTTCAGAACAGCTAATCTGAGTTGGGTCAATCAACTTCGAGTAGACCAACTCAGAGTTAAGTGCGCGCACCGTGACTTTAAAAAGGCATTATCAATGGAGCGCAGACATTACGAGTGACTATGGCAATATCTTATAAAAGAGATCACCATTTCTTTCTCCAGCTGAACTTGATGTTCTCATGCAAAGTTATAGCAAATATGAGTGTGTATATATTTGAAAAGAAGCAACCATCAGTGAAGAAGAGACAGTTAGCGTGGGAAAACAGCTGCTCAAGTTAATGCCTAATTTAACTTTTTAAGTATTTAAATATTTAAGTATAATAAAATAAGTAATGTAATTTGTGACGTTTATATTTTTTTTCTAAACTTTTTTATACATTTATTAGTTTTAAATGATTTAACAGTGCACTTGTGTGTCTGCCTTTTTTATTGATCAAGTGATAGAGGTTAATATAACATTTAGAAGGTAAGCAGTACTAAAAATAATTTTTAGAAAGAATAATAATCCCATTAATCTAGTTACAGTGCATGTCGAAGGTGAATTTAATTTAATTATTTATTAAAAAAGGATAAGCCATTCTAGTACAGTTCTTCTGTGTGTGACTAAAATGTAGGCAATAGCTATGTTTCCATCCAAATATATTACATAAGTTTATGTGCAAAACTGGAATATTGCATAAAAGATGCGAATAAAATTCCATCCAACGAGTCAAAGAGAAAAAAATTGTCACTTCCTGATTAAACTGGCACCAAATATCAACAGTAAAAACAGAATTTACTGTGGTAGAAGAAGCTGCGTCATTTATTTAGCCTAATTAATGTACTTGCGCCTCGATGTCAGAAGACAATGCTGAAACACAATGAACACGTGGGGGTGTCTGAAGCCATGAGACGCGGAGACTCTTGACACGCACCAGACGTTCGGAGGTAATTAATAATATACACTAATACTGAAACAGTTAAGGCATTTTAGAATGACTAAAACAATATTTGAGACGTGTTACAGTGTGCCCAGCCTGCTGGTTTGTCCATTTACACACATTTTCATTATCATATGATCATGATCTTTTTTTTAATGTACATACTGTAATTTGTTCAGTAAAAGTTTTTCCATCTAAGTTTATGCGCACATTTTCTATTGAATAAAAGTTTATCCTACTCAGTTATGCGTGTTTATTATGCATATTTTAAAAAGTTATGTGCATCATGACGTTTCTATCAATCGTTTTTATGCACGTATCCAAAATGAACATTAAAATAGGTGTGTGGAGATGTAAGGCTAAGGCGAGAAATACCGCTTCATCATTAAAAAAGGGGAGGAGACAGACAGAAACTCTGAGTTTAGAGAATAAAACCTGCTTCTGACCAGGTTAGATTCACAGAGTAAGTTACCACAGTAACTTACTCTGAGTTAAAGTTACCTCTCTTTCAGAAACAGGCTTGACTTACCCTGCTTTCTAGAGTTTAACAAACCTGCCATTTTGAAACGGAAAACCCAGAGTTTCTCTCATTTCAGGGTTAAAATACTCAGAGTTTTCAGTTAACCTCCTTTCTGAAACAGGCCCCAGGACTTGACAGAGTAACTCAAAAATTAAAAATTCATGAAAACACAATGTCCACCACAGAGGACACAAGTCAATAGGCAGGGTCTGAGGAGGAAATTGTTATTATTCTGAACTGTGCACTTAAAAGCTACATTATTAGCTACAAACTCTAGTGTGACCATAGCTTGAAGCTGCAGTCACACTAGAGTTTCTGTGTGCAAAGTTCTGTCATATGGCACTGTGTAATGGGGAAGGACTAAACAAGATTATTAGACATTAAAAAAAGCGAGCGATTGCTCAATGTTTTAAATTTCTGTCCAGAGATGTCATGTTTTGATTCTCGATTGGTCTCACGCAGTCAAGTGATGCATTTTCGCAGGTCAGAATTCACCAAGCTTGAACTTTGCACCGCAGCAACCTGCGAAACGCATGACCCTGCGTTTCCGGTCTCATATCTGCAAGAATATTTGATAATAACAGAGGTTTATATTTTGATTGAGAAAATTTCATTAGACCTCACCATCATGGAAATCAGAGGCTGCTGTAGTTGGGCTCTTGATCCTTTAAACTTCTATCTTAATGTTTCTCTGGCTGTTATAACTTTGTCTCTAAAATCATCAGTCATAGCAAGAAAGGCAATGAGAAACTTAACTGTGTGTACATAATCATTACAGATACAATTTCCAGAGTTTTATAAATTAAGCCATAGAAAATATAGTTTTATTTGATATGATTTAGGATCTATTACAGCTTCCCATGGAGATTTAACATGCACTTATCAAGGAATTAATAAGAAATTTAAATTTAATTGGTTTCAAGCACAAAACCTTGTATTAAGTGTATTAATTAAGCGGTGTATTTAGACCTGTTAAACAGTCATTGGCTGCTGTAGGTCAAGTCGTTTTGTTACATGGTATTCGTTTCTCACTTATAACTAACCATAGATATATACATTAGATGTCGCCTGGCCTATTGTTGTCTATTGGACGGAATGCGTTAATAGCGCCTGCCATCTTGGTACAGGGTAGCGCTCCTTTGAAATGAATGCGGGACCAAGGTACAGTGGAGGACTGTGGCCATCCAAAGCCAGAGATATACACATATACACATATATCCATGATCGGGAGTTTTCCTGGATGTTAGAATGTAATTTCTTTTTTTCTAATTACGAAAATTATAATTTTACTTCACATTTCTAAATTGATGGATCAGTGACCGCACGGGCATTCCTGACAAAAAGCTTGTGTTTGTGTGTACAGAAATGTACTATTCACCCTCCCTGTTAAATTTGATCTAATCATATCCTGAAACACAGCTCCTCTCCTGCTTTCACTTCTCATACTGACGGAAGGATCGATTCGTTTGAAAATGAATCCCCCGAACGACTCCTTCACTCGCCGACAATAATGCAAGTTTCTGGCAGCGCAGAATCTCGTTGTCATATTTCTGTTGCATTGTTTGCTGATTTTATTCAACGAAACTGGCATAAGCCGAGTGTTTAGTGCGAGTTGGAGCTGCTTTGCCTTATGGTGAATGCAATAAGTGACTGCATTATCATCAATAACGTTACCAGATTAGCACAAAAGTTCAGAACATACAAAAACAGAAAAAAAACTTAATTATACCTATGAAATGTTCTGCCTTTATGCTTTGTTTTCTTTGTTTGCTTGTAACTACACCTTTAGACAGCGCTAAAGTCCAGCATCTTTACGTAATAACACTGTCTTGACAAGTGCGGTTGAATGACATTTGTCCTGGGAGCACTGTACCAATGTGGCGGGGCTATTGACCCATGCTGAGGGTCCCTATGAATATCTAGTGTATATATCTATGATAACTAACAAGATGTTCAATGAGTGCACAAGCAGGTGAGAATAATTTCAATATTTTAGTTAACCTTCTCAGGCTTGTTGTTGTTGTTGTTTTTCTTTTAGCCTTTCATGCTATACAAATAGTCTGATTAACACAATTAATTACAGCAGCCAAAATGAAAACTAGTGTCAGAACAAATATATAAAGAGCTCAACTAAAGCAGACTCTGTCCTCCATCATGGTGACTTCAGATAAACAACAGAAATTTAATTAACAGCTTTTGTTCATGTGACAGAAACAAAGTCAAAGGTCAGTAATAAGTGAAGCTCCTGATGTTTGTGTAGTTGTTTAAAGAGGTGGTCCACTACGATATCATATTTTAAACTTTAGTTGATGTGTAATGTAGCTGTGTGAACAGAAACAGCATCTCTGAATGTAAAATGGTCAAAGTTCAATGCAAAGGGAGACCTTGATTTTTACAGAGTTAGCTTAGCAAAGCCTACAATGAACGAATTTTGGG